GAGGCTTCCTAACAGCGAGAGGGCTGCTAAAGGGGCAAGGCTTCCACAGAGCTTGCCGCTCAAAAGAAAGGACAGGTGCGCCAAACTGCCCGGGTGCACTCTGCCCAGCAGGTGGGGGGACTTACAGGACCTCCGGGCGCTCCATCCCCCTGGCTGCCAGCTCAGTTCCAAGACCCCCCCACCGATATGCACCCTGCTGCACCTTCCTCCTGGCCAGCCCACACCTGGTTCGCAAACCGGCAGCCCCTGCCCTGGCGTCAGGCAGGCCATAGGGAAGTCCCGCCTACGGCAGCTAAAAACAGAACACAGAGGCTGACACCTACGTGTTTCGCCCACTGGTTCTGGCAGTGGAGACAGGCACTGCAGCTGGGAAGCAGGAAACACCTTCCTTCCCCACCAAGCGCCAGCACCGCTCTTGCAACCCCCAACATCACTCCAGGGGCTGAGCAGCTCCAGAGTAGGGCTTCTGGGCACTAGCGGGCGCCACATACAAATATGAAACGCCAAAGGAACCTGGTTCAAACCAAAATCCCGCAAGCACCAGAAAAAGGATCAAGTGAAACTGAACTCATCAATCTTCCTGAAAAAGATTTCAAAATAAAAATCATAAACATGCTCATGGAGGTACAGAAAAATATTCAAGAACTCAGGAATGAATTGAGGATGGAGATCCAACCATTCCGGAACACAATGGAGGGTTTTAAAAGCAGATGAGATATGGTGGAAGAGACAATAAATGAAATAGAAATTAGAGAAGAGGAATACAAAGAAGCTGAGGCACCCATAGACCAATGGAACAGACTAGAGAGCCCAGATATTAGCCCAAGTATATATGTTCAATCAATATGTGATAAAGGAGCCATGGACATACAATGGGGAAATGACAGCCTCTTCAACAACTGGTGCTGGCAAAACCGGACAGCTACATGTAGGAGAATGAAACTGGACCACTGTCTAACCCCACACAAAAAAGTAAACTCAAAATGGACCAAAGACCTGAATGTAAGTCATGAAACCATAAAACTCTTAGAAGAAAACATAGGCAAAACTCTCTTGAATATAAACATGAGCAACTTTTTCCTGAACAAATCTCCTCAGGCAAGGGAAACAAAAGCAAACATGAACAAGTGGGACTATATCATGCTAAAAAGCTTGCTGATGCGCACGGCACCCCTTGCCACTGTCTGGCAGGCCAGCGGGCACTTCAGCTCACACACTGACACCAGGCGCCACAGCCACTGCAGGTGTGCCTCAAGCAGGCACTTTGAGACTATGAAACACTCAGGAAGAAGTGGCCTGCCACCCATGTTTTGTGAGCATCTAAACCTATCCTACTCATAGCCGAAAGCTCGAAGCAGAATCTCACCTGGATCCCGAAAGAGCCTAAAGCAGGGAGGGCTCTGTTCAAACTCTCATGTGGCCACGTCTCCTTCGGAGTCCCCTGCCCAAGCAGTCGAGTGCTAGCACCCGCCGTGACAAAGGCCTCACCTCTGCCCATCGCCACCCTGGAGCCGCAGCTCTCCTGGCCCTGGGTGCTTCCAACAGTCTCTGTGATGCATCAAGGCTGCCGGTGCCGACAGTCCACTCCTCCCTTGGGGACTGTTCTTGGAAAGCTCTAAATAACGTCTTCTGGGGCACATGTACTGACCTTCAAAGGGCAGCAGCATGTTTATCATGAAGTCTTTAAATGGAGTAACAGTAGGCAGTTCTTTCCTTAGGATTAGGAAAGTAGCTTGGTCTCAACTTACAAAGCACAGGTATTCTTGTATTCACAGTGAGCTGCCTAACTGGTGGCTCTTCTGCTTCCAGGGTAAGGCTACCTGAATCACCTGAGTATAGTAAGGTAGTGCAAGCTCATGGCTGTGTGCAGCAGGCCCCAAAGGGGCAGCCCTTCTCAGCAAAGAGCCGTCGGCTGGACTCGGACACACTGCAGCCCTTCGGGAGGTACTGGGGCAGGAGAAAGTGCCTTTACTGTCCGGGCCACACGTGTGCTCTCACGGTCAGCGCTCCTCTGTAGTATCCAGCCAGACCCTGGACTGCCCGCACCTGCACCACAGGAGGCTCTGAGGCGCTCAGTCCCCATCAGCTCACACTCCCCAGCTTTAATCTCACTGTCATGACAGCTCTGGCAGCGTGAGAAACCTAAACTGTGATGAAGCATCTGCTGGGCTGTCAGAGCAAACGTCTAGGTGCAGTCGGCTTCAGCAGGTGCTGAGGTCTCCCTTGGACAGAGCGATGAAGACACCTTTCACGGGGTGCTGCCTCCCTCCCCGGTCTGCTGGTGCTTCTGCTAAAACCCACTGTGTGTCTGCATTTTGGTGGCTGTTACATATCTGCCTTATGTAAATAGTTTCTAAATTAGAGCCCAAACCACAAAATTATTAAGCTAACACTGATAGTACCAAACTGTGGCGACGACATTATAATTAAATTACAGGTGAGTATCTCTATACACACCCAAAACCCTTAAATATCGGCAAGTGAAATTCAGCAATAACTGAACAGCTGAGATAGAGCACACCACGACCAAGTCCGGAAGAGCTTATCGCAGGATCGCAAAGTTGGCTGAACTTTCAGAAATAAGTGGGGTTCACCACATTAACAGAGTAAAAGATACACAACATGAACATCTCAAGAGATGCAGAAAAACCACAGTCGTCCCAGCAGCACAGACCCCACAGCAAGGCCATTCTACTTGCCCACAGGGAGACTGAGCAGGCACAGTGGGTTGCACGTGGTCAAACTTAAACTCTGAAGAGAAACATAACAGAACTCACTTCTGAGAATGTGAACTTGCTAACCAGGAGGAGACACCAGCACAGGGCCCCCAGGGCGGTAAGACGCACAGCTGATCAAGGTCACCCTGTGCCCTAGTGGAAGCAAGCCAGACCCTCATCTCACTGCAGGTTTGAAATCACTTCCAATCAGAGTGAACTGTGAAAACAAAACCCATAAAATAGCACCCAACGAAAAATGCTGTTTTGTTGCAACCAGGAAATACCAGAAACCATAAAGAAAAAAATTGGGATGGTAGACAGTTGATGGTTTACATGAAAATTCAAGATACTTATACAGCTAAATAAAAACCTTCAAATTGAAATAAACACCAAGTGGAAAAAATGACAAAGGGTGGTTATACAAGGAGTTCTTACAATAAAAGACAGAATACACCAAATGAAAAATAGGCAGACATGAATAAGCAATTTACAAACGAATGACTGGTGGCCAGGGAAGGAATTCCAAAATGCACAACTGACTAGAAACTTGCGAGGTCCTTTTTCTCCATTAAAAATAAAAGGGCCTGTCCTTTGAGCTTGGTCCCGGTCGATGGGTGACAAACACAGCAGCCACACCAGTGTTTACACGTATGCACAGGACTTCAAAATGTTCACAACAGCAGAAAATGAACATGCATCTCTGGGTAGTGGATTAAAGTCTGTCCTACATGTTCACGAGTTTGCAAGTTCCAGAACAGGCCCTCTACCGCTGCTGAGAGAAACTCCATCCCAGCGGGCCCGGGCTTTCCAGGAGTGGCCAGACCATTTTCCTTCCGGCCGTGTGCTCTTCTGTATGGGGCCTCCTGTTTCATGATGAACATTTTGCCGTCTGATCAAACCACCTTCCAGTCCATCTCAAGGGGCAGAGTCAACATACGTCCCAGAGGCACTGTGGTCAGTCCAGGGGTTCTGGCAGGAAGACGTGCAAAGAGGTTAAGGACCAAGTTTTGGGAAATCACCTGTGGTGCCTGGAAGCTGGGTTTGTTCTCAGAAAGAAAATGCAAACAGAGACCCTGGGAGGGTCACTTAAGCTCACAGCCGGGCTGCTGGGAGGGAGGCAGCGGGCTCCCATCTGGCATCCCCTAAGGCGTTGTGGGCCTGGGCTCCTGAGCAAGTGCGCACCCTCATCAAGGTACTGGTGCCAGGGGACCAATGGGACAGACAACTGGGGGGTGGGGCAGGCTGCCGGGTGGGGAGGAGAGGCAGATGATAACCCTCCCATGAGGGCCTGGGCAGCCACCCAGAAAGCCGCGTGCACAGTGCCACTGGGGGCAGCTGCCAGGCAGCCAAACTGACACTCAGTGGAAGACCCAAGCGCTAGTGCTCACCAGTCCAACCACCAGGCAGGTGCAGACCCACCCCTGTGTATCAGCTGTGGTTAAAATGTCATGATTAAATACATAAAAGCCACCAGCCATCAGGAGACAGCCTTTGACACCACATTCAAGGGCCAGCAGGACTCAAGCTAAACGGGGATTCAGGTGGTGGCCTGGCTTAGAGCAACCCCCTTTCTCTACATCAGGCTTCAGACCATCTGCTAGCGGCCAGCAAGGCCCTCTGCTGCTCTGCCCAAGTGACTGTAACGGGTTTGCCTGATGCCCACTTGTGCCAGGGACTCCACTCTTCCCAGTGCTGCTCAGGCAAGTAAAGGGGCTGAGCACAGGCTGGAGCACAGCGGTGCGCAACCACTCAGCCCATGAGCCCCTCTGGGCATTTCCACAATGGGTGGTGTCTTCACTGTTGAGGGAAAATCCCATGGGGACACAGAGCCCCCAGTGGCGTGGGACGGTGTAGCTCAGCAGCTGACCCCACAGACCGCCTCTGCTGCAACTCCTGTCCCTGGTGGGAGCTCCCTCACATATCACCCGGGATGTCGTTCTGTCCATTTGTAAAGGAGGCTGTACCTCGAGTGCCAGAGGCAGCCTGACACCACACAGGCATTGCCCCAAAAGGGACCCAACTCACCTGGTGAGTGGGCACAGCTTGCCCGACAAGAGATGATGAAACCACTAGTGAGCATACTCTTCAACCCTGGCTCTCCAGGCGGGGCCTAGAGCGCCGGGCCACCCCCTGCACGCTCGGGGATAGGGCCTCCTGCAGTCTTGGCTCCCACGGTTCAGGCACATGGACGCACGTGGGGCCTTCCTGCGGCCTACAGTCCCACCTGACTATATAAAACGAGGGGTTTGGTTTTGTCACAATAATTCTTTCCCTTGATGGGTAAAGAGTACAACAAAATTAGTCACTTTTATTTAAAAGAAACATTACAAAGAAGTGTGCAAAATTAAATTTCATGATTAACACACATAAAAGTAACATGCATACTTTGGACTGAAATCCACATACAAAGTCAGCTGATTACACAACAGTAAGAGAACTGGCAAAACAGAACTTGCTGCTGCAATTTTAATGTTTGCAACCTGAAACCAAACCAGGAAATTAAGTTTCTGTAAAGGGAATTTAAGAAAATTAAACATATACCTCAAGTAGTACTAACAATATAGAGCCCATAACCTATTGTAGTTACCAAATGTTAGAAACATGTCATGTGCCTTTCATTCTCCAATGTTAGTAGTGTGCAGCTATTCTTATAAATGAGAGGTGAGAAAAAGACAGTGGGAAAGGGACATAAAGGTGGTGGGCGAAGGCCTCCTGCTCTGGGCACCACTTCACTGGGATGTGGGAAGTTTCCTCTCCTATCCTCAAGTGGCACTTTCTCCCATGAGTACCTGACTACCTTTCAAAGTCTGTGTGTTACTGTCTCCCTCACCACAGCTGGTAACACGGGGCGGGCCTGCACCTGCCTGGGCTCAGCAGCTGCAGCAGACATGGCACGTGCTCACGCTCGGCCAAAGCCCTGGGCTTCGGGTGACGCGCAAGGGATGCCTCCCTATTCTCTAACTCTGCTCTCTCTTCTTCGTGCTCAGATGGGAGAAGGAACTCCTTTCTCCTTTTCTAAGGCAAGCTGCTGGTATGATAATTCTACTTAATCTGGCTATGAGCTAACAACTAGCATTTACGCATTTGCCCCATTATAGACTCGGTGAAAATTATGCAATCTGCTGCCAAGGACAACTTCAATTTGTCCATCTTTTTCCCAACCTGGTCCCCAGTTGTGTACAGAGCCCCCAGCAGCAGAAGTCAGATGCAGAGAAACCACTATAGCGTCACAGTTGAACTAAAGGGACAGCTGGCACTTGGCACAAGTGGCCCAGAGCCACCTGAGTGTCTAGGGTGCCTTAATGATGACTCTTTAATACTGGAAACGGAGACTTGCTTAGGAAAACAGACAACCACATAATGGCTTTGAGACCAAGGTCCCCCGGGCAGTCTCTCCAGCCCATCACCCACAAAGCCCAAGGGTGCCAACACCAGCCCGAGGGGGGCCTCGGGGGGCCATCAGCATGGGCGTGGATTGCCCTCTGGGTGAAGAGTCACAGCTTGTCATCGGTCATTTCTAGAAACTGCGCGTAGACGTCCCGGAGGCACTCCCCCTTGGGGTTGAACAGGAATTTGTAGTAGCTGCCGTCTGCACAAATCGCTGGGACAGAAGGAGACCGTTTTACTCACCATTTCTTGCCCCAGAGTTAAATCAAGCAGACCTCACCGAGTTGAGCTGGGAGCGGCCTCTTGGAGCACTGAGAAGCTCCTCAGAGTGGCTGTGGATGCTAAGGGGCTCCCCTTCCTGGCCGGACACGTGTAGCCAGCAACCTCAACTGTTCCAGGGGTGGCGATGGGAACACCCTCCTTGGTCACCAGTTCCCAAACCAAATGATCTTCCCCCACTGTTTCCTGGGAACCCAGAGGGCAGGATGCTGATACCCCCCAAGCGGCTGTGCAGACTCTGAGTGGGACATACTGTGCCCCCGGGAGAAGGCAGGGCAGCCAGCAGAGCTGGTTCTAGGCTGACTACACCTGGGGGTGCGGGCGGGGCAGTTCTCAGGGGAAGGACCACTCACCAATGACAGCGTTTGGCTCTGTTCCGAAGGCACAGACACACGGAGAGCCTGAGGGAACCTGAAACTTGGAAAAACTCCACTTGGAACTGAAGTATTTTGGAAGGAAACTGGCCGACGCCAAACTATGGGGACAAGGAGGAGAAGAAAGCAGTTACTCTCAAATGACCAAGTTAGATACAGCCCTTTGACACAGACTCAGCCTTGATGACTCAAATTCTACTTTTGCTTATAGTTTTTTATTTCTCACGTGAAAACAACTGAGCCCTTACAAATGGCTTTACATTAAACCCAGCAGCTGTCCGTACCAGCAGAGGTGCAGGTGTCTACGGCACTGTATTGGTTTTCTGAGCACAGCAAACACAGGGCAGGCGTCAGAGCTCAGGCCCACACTGTACATCACCAGAAGGCATCTGGACCCTCGCTGGACATATCGGGTGCTAGCGATAGGGAAGTAATGATGCTACTGTTTCAGTAGCAAATAACCTGCACTGATTTTCCAGAAATCTGATGAACACCGATGGAAACAATCCTGACTGTGACTTAGCACTGACCTGCCCACTGTGAAGCAGCCCTTCCAGCTTTGGGAAGCCTACCTAGACTGTTTATTCCTTTTCGGATCTTCGGCAGCAAAAATGTGCACTGTGCCGTGGTCACTGGACACGCAGATGAGGGAGGCATCCTGATTGAAGTTAATGCTGCAGAGAGACCAGATGAAGCTTGGGTGCTGTGTGGACTCAGAGGAGCCCAGCCCCGACCACAGCCACACACAGTGCAAGCTGACCTCTACCCGTGGCCCTCGGCCTTTTGAATTCCAGGCAACTGTAAGGACCACCCTCTCTTTTAATAGGCTGATAGCTACAGCAGGCTCCCTCTTGGTGTACCAACACAGCTGGGTGCCTAGGAGAGGGATGGGGCCTCTGTAGGACCCTTGTAGATGGACCCTCTAGCCGCCCCCCAACATTCCAGAAGCACAGGCTGCCCCTCCAGAGGTGAGCATGCCCTGGGGCAGGCACCCGCTGTGACTGGAGGGGCCCAACAGCAGCCAGACAGGAGAAGGGCCACAGGCACGGTCCCTCCATTCCTACGTTAATTACATTTTTAAGTATGGAGACCCAAATGCTGCCTAACACATGCAAGGCCACAGGTGCAGAGAACGAAACCCTGCCCAAGCAGGTTCAGCCACTTGGGGCTGAAGATGCCGCAGACACGGTGGCAGCATGGCAGGGAAGGCAGGCGGGTCTCTCCAAGGAAGCTGAGCGATACAGAGGCGCTGATGGGCCTCACATGTCTGCCTTAGCGTGCCCCAGGAAAGGAAGCTGGAGGGGCAGGGCAGAGATGACATGGACCTGGCGAGTACGGATGCACGCTGAGGCAGGGTGATGGGCTGGTGGCGGTTAACTACACTCTTTCTATTTCTGTGTGAATTTCCACACAAAAAAATTAAAAGTTAATAAAATGGAGCACTGAACCTGATCCCGAGACCTGAAACCTCAATGGATGGAGGGGTCTTTACTCTCCCTCCAGATCACACAGGGCCCATTTCAGAGCAGCCGCCCTGAAGCACAGCCTTCTGCAGGGTGAGATGATGCCCTCTTACCAGTAAATATTAGCTGCTTGAGAGCCTCTTCGCAGTTCCTGGATTAAATGCCCTGATGAAGTATCAAATATTCTTATAAGGGTCCCCTTTGGAAAACAGTGAAGTGTTTCATTATCAAAGATTCACAACTTTTTAGTTTTCTGAAATGATTCATATTCAAAACCCATTAGCCTATATGACTCTTTCCCAAACTCACCCACATCATCTAAAACTCAACGTTTCCCTCTGTCACACCTCAGAATGGGCTGGTGGCTCTTTAGTCTAAGAGCCCCACGAAGGGGCAGAGAGGGTGAGGGAGACCTGGGGCTCCGGGGGACAAGCCCTGTACACCTGGCCCTCGGCAGACGCCTGAGAGGATGCCAGGCCCCAGCCAGCCCAGCACTCGGGTGCCATGGCTCTGGCTCCAGAGAAAAGCATTTTAATCACGACTCCCGTGGCCACTCAGGAGTGACACTGTGACTGCTGCATAGAAGACGACGGGTGACCAAATAAAATGACTTTTGGATCATGTCAACCACAGTTCATTTCCCAAGGGATGGTGGCCAAGGATCTCCGGAGTCAGAATGCCCTGGGGGCCGGTGTCTGTGGAACCCACGCAGTCCTGAGGGACAGGCGGGCGGCTCGGGGAGGTACATGGCTTCAACGAGGGGGACACACTTACTTTTTCAGATGCGGTTGCAATTCTGGTTCCCTGCAGATTGAGAGCAACGCAGCTCAGGACACCCTCATGGGCAGGAATGTCCACGGGAGGCTTCTCAGTGCTGGCCAGGTCCACAAGCTGCACATGGCCCGTGTGGGTGCCCGGGAAGGCCAGGAGGGCGTTGTTGCTATTGGGGCACAGGACACAGAGGCCTAAAAACGGGGCAGAGAACCATCAGGGACATTTGGCTGTTTTCAGCCTCTGCTTCCCACACCCAGCCTATCCTCCACCCCAACAGGTTGTAAGAGAAAAAAAAGAATTGTTCATGGGTTTCCATTTATATTAGAATCACAATATCCTTCCATTGTAGAGGTTATTAGGACCTAGCAAAGCCACCTCCCATGAGACTGCCTCATAACTGGGAACGTGCTTAATAAACTATCAAATGTCCATCCTCCGTGGTGCCAGCCACTAAGAATGCAAAACAGAAAAAGGAAAACCACTCTACTAATAACAAATAAAAGACACAAAATACTTTGTAATAAAGTAAACAACAGGTGTGTGAGACACCACGGCAGTGCAGCGGGAAACCACGGGTCTGGCGGCTGGAGGGCGGCCGAAGTTGCTTCCCTGCAGAAGTGACAGGGACAGCCAAGGCCCCAGGGTAGCCACGCAGCGCTGGAGGGCTTGCGGTACCTGATTTCAAGAATGATTTTAAAGCTCCAGAAATAAAGACAGTATAATAGTGGCATAAGGACAGAAAGAGATTATTGGAAAAGAGTCCAGAAAAGTCTGGTGATTCAATGCAGAAAAAAAGTCTTTTCAATAAATGATACTCGAAACGGGATACTCATGTAGAAAAAAAACCTGCCTATGCCTCACGCCATACACAGAACTTGCCTTGAAATGGGTCACAGGTATAACTTACGGCCTAAACGCAGAAAGCCTGAGGGAAAACACCTGAGAGCACACAGGGCTTACCGGGAACAGTGAAGAGCCCTTCCAACTCAGCAAGGAGACAAGCAATCATTTCAAAACCAACTGCTGCACGCCATAGAAGAAGAAACGTGAATGGCAGTAGCACGTGCCAGGACACTCACTGTCACAAGTCCACAGAGACACACAAGCACAACCCACAGGGAGATACAGCTATGTTACTACTATAATGGCAAATGCTAAGAAGACACAGAAATAGCAGGTGCTGACTGGAACTCTCTCTAATCACTGATGGAAATGCAAGAAGCTACAGCTGCTTTGGGAAACATTCTGTTAGTATTTTATAAAGCTAGACATGTAATTAATTATGATCCAGCAACTGTACTGCTCAATATTTACCTGAGACATGAAAAAAATCCATGCAAAGACTTGTATGTGGCCATTCAGAGAGCGGCTTCTGTTCATAGCAGCTGAAGAGAGCGCTGCTGTGGATGAACAACCGGGGCCTCCCTGTACTACAGGATATCAGCAGTAAAACATACACCCAGAACACACAGAGGAATCTAAGAAACATACAAAACACATCTAAAAAGGCAAAACTTTACGGTCAGGTAGGTGGGAGAGGACACTGCCTGAGAAAACTGGGTTAGCAGGACTGTTCTGTCTTGACTGGTGGTAGTTTCACAGCTATTTATAGTGACTAACATAAATCTATGAGGAGTGATTTTTATGTAAATTATACCTAAAAAAATCTAGAAAAAACTAAAAACTTTAAATTAAGATGATATAATGAATCACACAGTTGGCCTCCAGAAGAAAAAGAGAAGAATGTGCCTCAGAACTTAAGAAAACACACATCCCAAAGCCCACCATGGAGCTCCCGAATGGCTGACTGTGGATAAAGTGAAGGTCCCTGTGGCCAGGATTCTCACGTGGCCCTGGTCGGCTTGCTCACTACGCACATGTGGGCACCACGTTATTGCCGACTCTATATAAAGAGCTCAGCCCAGTGCACTGGGCTGCTGCACGGCTGCAGGAGAGCAGAGGCTGGAGTGGTGGCAGCACCAAGGATAGACACTGAGATGGCTGTGCGGGTGGAGAGGCCAGAGGCAGAGACCGGCTTCTGCGTGCAGACTCGCTCTGAGTGGTCGGGATTCTAGTGATTGACCTGCCACCATGGGAATGAAGTTGGGTATAAGCCTTTTCACCCCAAGAACATTCCGTTGTCAATCTTCAGTCTCGATGAATCCGTAGTGAACCTGCCCATTGGCAAGACACCAACAATCACCATGAAAAGATTCCATGAAAGCTCCTGACCCTGGCTGGGCTTTGGGAAGCGGCTGAGGCCCCGCTGCGACCGTCTCCCACTGGGGAGAGAATCGCAGTGGCAAGGCTGGGATGCAGAGGGAGGGCCCAAAGGTGGCTCAGGAAAACACCCACCCGGAGGAGAGGGCGCCTGGAGCAGGTCTGCAGCCCCAACATGGACCAGACACAAGGGAGCCAATCTCCTCCTCACTCCTGCGAATGTCTCACCTTTAGGGTTATAGCAGGTTTCAAAGACATGCAACTGATGCGGATTGTGTGTGAATGTAAACACCTTAATCATTGAGTCCAAAACCACCACAATTCTGGAAAGAAAAAACAAGATCAGAATTACTCTCCCCAAAAGCAAAACTCAAACATTTAGTGACTTCTGTTCTTAGTCTGAAACTTAGAAACACTCAAAACACCACATACAAAAGGATCTTTCTAGAATCAGGGCCCCTTGTAGGTGATGTCTTAGAGCAGGCCACCGTGAGCTGCCAGCAGGCATGAACAAGTGCCTCTTGCTTGGGTCGGGGCTGGTGAACGCACCCTCCTGTGCTTTAAAGAGACATTATCATCAAATATTTCACCTAGAATAAAAACCAAGGTGAGCACATGGGGTAGAAATTACATTTCTATTTGCTTCTAGATATGTATTGACAATTTAGAAATGTCAAAAAATGGAAGACCCTTGATATGGCTCCAGTATTTGCATTACCAGGGGTCCCCCTAAATACACTGAAGTGTCAGGCCTACCTAAGAATGCAGGAGTAACAGGCCCCCATGTAAATCAGACCAAACCACAACCCAAATTAATGAGGCTCTGTTCTATTCTGCTCAGCGTACTAGGAAGAACTTCTATATTTTCCTGAACACCATGGAGGCTGTGGCTGAGAGAGAAACCTGCTACTTTTTTAACAGGTGAGATTCAAGGGGCCCCTTCTCACTAAGGAGTTTTGGAATTTTCCTTTAATTTCAAACTAAGAACATTCACAGAGGCAGCATTTGGCATAGCTGACACAAAGACAGAGGCAATCCAAGGTGCAAACCCCATGCCCTGCTGGGTGAGGACAGCGCTCCTGCAGGGCCAAGGGCCTGGACCTGGCAGGCGCATGCCGTCTGTGCCACCAGACTCATTTCCAAATGATCCCTGGAAGCCAGTAAAACTCACTGCCCTTGCAGTGACAGGAACAGCCCTTATGTCCTCTGGGTCAGGAAGCAGTCACATCACTCTGCTGAGCACTTTTTCCCCCTCGACCCGAAAGCATTTCATTTTAGAGAGCACGACCCTCTCACGCATAAGAAGCAGACAGCACACTGACCTGTCCCGCCGCAATTTGACCGCCTTCACTTCTGTAGAAAATTCTATTTCGATGACAGTCTTCTTCTTCAGGTCATCCCAGATCATCACTGAAATACCAGACAGAATTCATGGACACACCATTGAGCTGGCACCGCATGGTCGGGGCCACTGTGCAGGGCCCTTACGTCACAACCCCAACCCGGCGGAGCGGTCGTGGTCCCTCTGGGAGCTACTGTCCTGCCCCCAGGTCTCCTCCAGGAACCTGGGCAGCCCACCCCTCCCCGCCCCCTCAGCACTCAGGCCCAGGTGACCCCAGGCACCCAGCCCCCATCCTGTGAGCACGCACACTTCAATCTCTTCTCCGCCAGCTCTCCCTGGTTTTCAGGCAAATGCCTCCCGATTCCGTGCCTTGGTTCCCCTTAAGCATGCCAAGGCAACAGCAAGCCTGGCCACAGTCACTAAGAGCTTAAGGGCCACAGACGGGCCTGGATGTGGAGAAGAGAGAGGGTTCAGTTGTGATGGGGTTTCTCGATCCCACTCTGACTGTTCTTGCTCTTCTTCAAGCTCAGGAATGTCCTCTGTCCATGTTCTGCTCACTGCACTGCTTTGCTGTGACGGGTTAGCAGCTTGCGTCCCACAGGCCAGAGAGCACAGACGCCTGGGGATGAGCACCACCTGCACCGCAGGGAGCGTGGCGTCCAGCAGTGTCCACCTCTACCCGAAAAGCTGTCTGTGAGCAGTGGGGGGTACGGGAAAATAGGTTCCCACAGCTGTCAGGTCACGGGAAGGCAACCGAGGACGGAGGGAGCGGATGTTTCCCCTGAACATCCTGCCATATGACCAGCACGAGTCCTGGAGGGCAAATGCAGGTGCAGTCTGGCCAGAATGGACTAAATGACCTGTATTTCAGACCGAGATAATTTAATACCAGCCTACAAGAGGCACCACACTTACTAGCCTTTACAAGAACACACAGTGACCACCGACTCCCCATGGTTTCCAAGGGCTGCAAGCTGCCGTGCTGCAGTGCCGGAAGCTTTACGTGTGCCTTTTAATACAGCTCCTGACAGCAAAAGGTACATTAAGTAATCCTGAAATCCCCCTGCCTCAGAGGAAAGGCTTTGCTGCTCTGCCCTGCACTTCCCTGTGATGACCCGTCTCCTCCAGCCATTTCACGCTGGTTTCCACAAACCAAACATGCCAGATTCTGTGTATTTCAACATCCCATATCTTAATTTGTAATTATTAAAATATTAAGAGTAAAGTCAGGAAGTAATTTTGGCATTCTTTAGGAAATGTTTTTAATCTTGCAAAAGCTTACATAGACCAAGATTATTTTAACTGCCTTTAGCATTCTACAAAAAAGTAAATTTAAATTTCACTAAAAATTGTTAGGAAATTGCTTTGTCTACAAAATTCTTAAGATTCTTTCATTTTTTTGGAAATTATTTTTATCTTTAAAATACTGAGGATAAGATGTTACAGGTGATTATTCAGTCCCACTGCCCCCTTGAGAGCCCCAAGGGGGTCCCTCTCCCAGCAGTCACACGTGGGGCTGCTACCCACTCCCTTCCTTCATCGAGAACCAATAAAATTCTTGGCAAGTGGGCTGATCCAGCACAGAACCACTGCCCATCCCCAAGGAACCCAGATAAATAATTCTTACTCAGGTGCAAAACCCATCCATGCCCAGGCTTCCACGTCCCTCCGTCTGCGTGGCCTCTTCCAGGACTGACACCCGTAGGCACTGCTCAGTAGCCACAGTGATCAGCAGCCCTTCTAGGCTTTCTGCCCTTCAGCTTACAGGACAAGCTGGAGGGCACCGCCCACATCTCAGCACAACCCTCACCTGAGGGCAGATGCCATTTTCTGTACGGAGCCAGCCTGGCTGCAGAGCCTGTGCAGGGTCACCTAGGACTCCGCCCCTCCCCGCCCCTCCCTCACAGAAGCTCTCTTTGCTCTGGTGTCAGGCCTGGGCTCTGGGCTCCTCCCTCCTTCCACCTCCCCCATATCTGAAGCACACCCCCAGCCATGGGCACCTCCTGGAACACCTACCCCCAGTCCCCCCTCATCTGCACTTCCTCCAGGGAGACCTCCAGCCCTGGCCTCCTTACCTTCCAGCCAAACTTGGAAAGAGAGTGGTCTCTATCTCCTCCCCCACATCCACATAGGCTGGAACCTGTTCCCACTGGGCCCCAACTCGACTGTCCTTCACTGAGGGTCACTGCCAGGGTCACCAGGCCCAGTGGACTGTTCTCAGGCCTCGTTCTCCTTTGCCTGAGACCTGGTGGCCATGCTAGCTTCCTTCTCTGCCCCTTCCTGTGCACCACAGCTCCCCTGGCTGCCTCCAGCCTCTGGGGTCTCCTCTGTCGCACACACTGGGCACTGCTTTCCAGACCACACCCTCGCCTGGCATTCAGGACCCGGATCTGTCCCTGCCACTCCCTTCCAGGGTTCCACCCTCCGTTCCCAGGTTCCTTTCCCTTCCTCCAACCATACCCAGGTCACAGGCACGAAGTACATGGGAGAGGGTTGGGGAAGTTTTCTGTTCTCTTACTTTGCAGTGTAAAGCAACACTGCAATCTCTTTGTACTCACACACACCCCAAAAAAGATCCCTGAACCTACAGCCAAGTTGGTTTTTGTTCTTTGTGGCAACCAAATTAATATTTCTGTGAATTAATGGCTCTATAGGAAAAATAACCTCCCTACAGCTTGTTTTAAAATGAAGTAACATTTACACCAACCTACAGTAGGTTACACCCAGAAAAAAATGGGTCCAGAGGCATGACTGCCCCTATTTGGCCAACATTGACTGAAAAGCACGTTCTGTGTGTTGATGGGAACGAGGCCCCTGCCACGCACACGTCTTCTCCTGGGAGCAGCGGGGACTAGGGACCCTCTCTGGGTGCCTCTCTCCCCACAGCCAGCCCCCTGTTTCACAGGACTGCCAGGGAGGCCACACGGGGCCCCAGACACAGAAGCTCTGGGCAGTTCAGGATACCAGGTGAGGTGTGCCTGTCACCGCGCGGTCACTTTACCTTTGTTGGGAGGGTATTTTGGCTTTTTTCCACCTCCGACTAATGCTAAATAGTTGCAGCGAAATAACATTTCAACATGGCCAACTCCTCCTTCCAGAAATTCTGAAATGATATTAAGAAGTTGTTAGTATGTGTATTTTACAATTGAAAAAAAAAAAGAAGTGGTGAAATGTAAAACTCAACATTTGATTTGCAAGGAGCAACTGATAGCAAACTCCTGTCAGAAATGAGACAGTGACTGGCCAGGAAAACGATCAGCTCTGAGCTTCGACTCCTCTCAGTGTCCTGTTTCTCACGCATAAACGCTGAGCACACAGCACCCTAAGAAGCCATGAAATACCTAAATTCATATTTTAAGGTGTAGTAAAATCTAGACGCTCTGAGAAAGCACGCTAAATGTTTTAATGCAAAAGCTGAGTTTCTTTTTTGGCATTTTAAACACCTCTTCTACTGAAGTCTGAAATGCTCAAAAATGTTCATCAATCACCTTAGGAGGAAAGTGTCAGTAGACTTTCAGGTGTCTTCCAGGGAAGAAGGAAGAGGAAGGCAGTGGGGACCCCGGCAAGCAGAGCGGCAGACCCCACCCCAGAGGGCCTACATCCCAGAGCACCACCACCTCCGCAGCCCCGTGCTCTGGTCTGTAATGGCCATGGGCAGCTCCGAGGGCACAGCCAAGGGCGAGCAAAGAGCCAAAAGCCCTGAACACTAGTCGTCAAACTGAGAATTGACTTATGCCCAGCAAAGCTACACACAAAGACCCCCAAGTTCCTCAGCTCACTCTGAGAAATTGAAACGCAAGACCTAGGGAAACCCTGGGAAGGACTACATATTTAGTATTATTCACAACAGAAACAACCTCTCTTCCAAACCAGCTGCTAGTCCACCAACACACAGGCTATTTCAAAGTAATTCTGGCCTTAACAGGGTGTGGCCGCAATCCAAATCCCGTTCGATGACGGTGGCTCATTCCGTGAACATTTGTGCCCCTCCCAGCCAGGTGTATGGCCTCTGATCTGCAAAGGCCCAGGACTTCCTTTCCAGCAGTGCAAGGCCACCACCCTGCTTCCCAGGAACTCACCCACTGCGCTGCAGGAGACTAACTGCCGGCCAAGGTTCAGTGTTAGCCTTAACACCCCTGAAAAGATGAATGGACTGCAACAGACCAGAGCTTAGGAAAGCCCCCAGTGACCTGCTCCTAAGCCAGTGCAGACCACTCAGTGGGGAAGACCAGTCTCTTCACCTGATGCTGCCAGGAATACCAAACATTCACATGCGAAAGAACAAAGTCAACCCTTAACTTACACCATATATGCTCTTAATTCAAAATGGCTTAAAGACCTACACTTAAGATCCAGAACAGTAGAACTCCCACAAGAAAACATAAACCCAGAGCTTTGGGACACTGAGCTACACTGTGACCTCCTGGATAAGACGCCGAAAGCGCAGGCAACAAATGCGACAAAGGCGATGAAAATACAAATCAATAACTGGACCAAAAATGGGCAAAGGACCCATGCAGAAATCCTCCAAAGATGACGTATGGTTGTCCTACGAGCACATGAAGAGATACTCAGTAACCCTCAGGGAAGCGCCAACCAGAGCCAGGAGACAGTGCCTCACCATTTGGATGGCCGCTCTCTGGAAAACAAGACAGCAAGTGTGGACAAGGACGTGGGGAAGTAGGGACCTTACGCAACCACTGGTGCAGCTGCTACTGAAAACAGTTTGGTAGTTCCCAAAAAAACTATAAACAGAACTACCACCAGCAATCCCATTTCTTGGTATAAATTCAGAAGAATTCAAAGCAAGTTCTCAAAGAGATATTTTCACTCCCATGTTTATAGTAGCTATCTTCAGAATGGCCAAGAGGTAGAGGCCACCCAAATGTCCACTGAGAAATGAACAGGGGTCTTGTACTGTACAGGGTGGTCTGGCCTTGAGGAGCAGGCGTTCTGACATGTCTGTAATCTGAGCACCTGAGGAATCATGCCGAGCGAAACGGCCAGGCGCAAAAGGGCCATCCTGTGTGCTCCCGAGTGAAGCCCCTGGAGCAGGGAGAGCCATAAAGACAGTCGGGCAGGGGTCGCCAGGGGCTCAGGGGCTGGGGAGGGGAGCTGCTGTTTAATGGGGACAGAGCTTCAGTTCTGTGAGGTGAAAGTGACCTGGAGGCCTGTTTCACAACAAAGTGAATATACTGAGCCGAACACTTAAAAAAATGGCTGGTTAGTTTCATGTTATTGTTTTTGTTAAAAAAAAAAACAAAAACAAATGAACACTGTCATTTAGGAACATTTCTGTCCCTGGGGTGTTAGGATTTTAACTATTTCCTCAGTAAATTCTAAAATCAAATCTATTTAGAGCAACCTGTGAGTTATGTCAAGAGACAGCCAGTGTGTTCTGAAGTCCTGTCCAGTCGAGAGGGAATGCCAGCACTGGGACAGACAGCCCCACGTGGGCACTGGGACGGAATCGCCAGTGCCGGACCTGCCAAGGTGCCAGGCCTTCCCACGGTTTGAAAGCAGCAAGCCACTCCCTCAGCAAGATGTGATCCAAGCTGACAGAGAAGATGAGGGAACGGAAGCAGGCTGCACGACCTCTGAAGCGGGACACGGACACAGAGAGCCAATTAGATGAGGATATGAAAAACTGAAAACAGACACTTCATGTGAAAAATTCACCAAAAATTTTTGTTAAAATCCCACTAGGTTAGTTTTAAAGTTTTTTGGGTTTTTTAAAGTTTTAATTTAAATGATACAGGATGTAATTTTTCTCTAAGATTCTTTCTAAATCAGAAATATTTCATTTTGCCTTGATGCCTGTTTCCGGCTGACTGATTGCAAGTTCTCAAAGAGATATTTTCACTCCCATGTTTATAGTAGCTATCTTCAGAATGGCCAAGAGGTAGAGGCCACCCAAATGTCCACTGAGAAATGAACAGGGGTCTTGTACTGTACAGGGTGGTCTGGCCTTGAGGAGCAGGCGTTCTGACATGTCTGTAATCTGAGCACCTGAGGAATCATGCCGAGCGAAACGGCCAGGCGCAAAAGGGCCATCCTGTGTGCTCCCGAGTGAAGCCCCTGGAGCAGGGAGAGCCATAAAGACAGTCGGGCAGGGGTCGCCAGGGGCTCAGGGGCTGGGGAGGGGAGCTGCTGTTTAATGGGGACAGAGCTTCAGTTCTGTGAGGTGAAAGTGACCTGGAGGCCTGTTTCACAACAAAGTGAATATACTGAGCCGAACACTTAAAAAAATGGCTGGTTAGTTTCATGTTATTGTTTTTGTTAAAAAAAAAAACAAAAACAAATGAACACTGTCATTTAGGAACATTTCTGTCCCTGGGGTGTTAGGATTTTAACTATTTCCTCAGTAAATTCTAAAATCAAATCTATTTAGAGCAACCTGTGAGTTATGTCAAGAGACAGCCAGTGTGTTCTGAAGTCCTGTCCAGTCGAGAGGGAATGCCAGCACTGGGACAGACAGCCCCACGTGGGCACTGGGACGGAATCGCCAGTGCCGGACCTGCCAAGGTGCCAGGCCTTCCCACGGTTTGAAAGCAGCAAGCCACTCCCTCAGCAAGATGTGATCCAAGCTGACAGAGAAGATGAGGGAACGGAAGCAGGCTGCACGACCTCTGAAGCGGGACACGGACACAGAGAGCCAATTAGATGAGGATATGAAAAACTGAAAACAGACACTTCATGTGAAAAATTCACCAAAAATTTTTGTTAAAATCCCACTAGGTTAGTTTTAAAGTTTTTTGGGTTTTTTAAAGTTTTAATTTAAATGATACAGGATGTAATTTTTCTCTAAGATTCTTTCTAAATCAGAAATATTTCATTTTGCCTTGATGCCTGTTTCCGGCTGACTGATAAAATCATTATCAAGTCAGAAAAATTTAAGAGTTAAGAATTAAGACACAGTCACCAGTGTAAACAGCTATGGGATCTGGGCTGTAATTGGGAAAGAAAAAGGGAAAAGCAGATTTTTCAGCATCACCTGAAGAGGCAGAGAAAGGGGCCTGTAAGGCCTTTCCTGGGAGAGCAGAAGCAAGCCAAGGGTGAGACTCTAAATGCCAGGAGAGTCACGCCCCCACACCCCGCTGCCACCACCCCAGCGTACCTTCCGTGGCATTGCAGTGTCTGACCCCAGCCTCCTGGAGCTGAGAGGAGAGGGCTCCTGGGGTCAGAGGACACAACAGGCAGGACTTGTTTACAGACAAGGCAGAGAGCACCCAAGGATGCTCATCAATACTCACACCACTAGAAGGGCTGTCGTGCAGCAGAATTAACTGCAGAAATAGATCCAACAGGACAGAAAACAGGCCCCCAGGAAGCTTCTGCTGGGGAAAACCACAGGTACAAATAAGTACCTGACAGGCAGATCCAGATTCTGCCAACAGAACCTCCCTCCAAAAATGAGACACTAAGGAAATGAAGTGAGGGGGGAATCTGAGCATTGAGATCACCTCCATTCCACTAAGAGAGGCTCAAAAAACAAAGTGCTTTTTACTCAAGAGTGGAAGACAACCACCGCAGCCCCGATCTAGCGACTTGGGCCAGTTCCCTGCCTCTGCATCTCTGCCTCCCTGTCACCTTCCTTATTTCCACGAGGTGTCTTTTACTGGAAATATCTTAATTGCTTCTCACTATAAAAATGATGCATTATTACTAGGGAAACAACACAGAAAAGCACAACGTAGAAGCCCCTGATGGTGCCGTGCATGTACCTGTGCACTTCACGCACAGAGACTCGGTCTCTGCCCCTCCGCGGGTGAAGTCACGTGCCTGTGCTGTGCTCCGACTCTTCCCTTCTACACGCCACGGCCCTCTCACCCATCCGTATTGGCAGACCAACCTTGGAGTTTTTACCATATGTACCACCATGGGATGTGGGATGACCAAGTTAACAGTGTTCTGATGAGTCATCTAGGCCCCCCTCCCATTTTCCACTATTAGAAACAGTGCTGCAAGTAACATGTTTATATAAGCATCTGATGTTTTTTCCCTTCTTTAAGTACAATTGTTGGATCAAACAGTGTACGCATGTGTGTATATAAAATGAACAAATTTTGCCAAACAAAACAGTTCTACCAATTTAAACTTGTACCATCAAGATCATAAAACAGGTGTGCTTTTCCATACCCTTACCAATGCCACATGCTAACATGGTAACTGTCCCCCCGCACCAACCCAGCAATTAGCTCACTTGCCTCCAACTGACATGCCAGGTGGCCTTCCGTGAAATGAGAACGAGGATTATGGGCCATGGAGAAGGCCCCTACAGACTGTCAGCCAGGTGGTGCTGGATTGGGCACTCAGACAAGCCACCCATGTGTCGGCTCTCGGGGTCTCACCCCCCATGGCTTCCCCAGGACCCGGGGCAGCCTGACACCTAGCACCCCACTACGACAGCTGAGCAAGTGAGCTCAGGAACCAGCAGCCCTCACTCACACTCCCTTCAAGCCATGCAGAGTCCCCTCTAGTTCCCCCATGTGCTGCTAACATCCCACATGTGAGCCCCAGTCACACAGAGGGCAAGGCAGGCGGCTCTGAAGATGGGACCTGCTTGCCAACCTTGCAGACTGGGCCAGCTTGCCAACATGGCCTACACAAGTACCAGCCACCCCTGTCATATGGGAGAGGTGTTTCTAAACTAACAGTGGACTTTCAACATGTTCTTTGTATTTCTAATGACTGGATATAGTATTTTATCCAAGCGTATCATTCTCAGACCTTCTGTCTACTGTATGCACGTGCTCAGCTGTGCACTGCAAGTCCTAGAGTTGGACCCCACAGCGACACTAAGAGAACCCCAGACAGGCTGCATGATGCAATCCCAGGCAGCCCTCCCAGGGGGCCCAGACTTCCCGGAGTGGAGCAGGGCTGCTGGTGGCAGAGCAAACCCACTCCAGGTGTGCACCAGATGAGGGACCTACAGCACCTTGGAGGGAAGTCCAGTGGAGGGCTGGGGTTCCCACAACGGCTTCCTGGCACCACCAGTTCCAAGAGCCAGGCAGCGGCGGGCAGCCCTGGAAGAGAAGCTTCCATACAGTGTACTGCCTCAGGGCCAACTGCACTGGGGACGTCAGGACTGAGAGCCTAGATGTGGGACTGACCCCGTCACGCAGGCCCCTCCTGTTCACTTGGGAAGGCGGGCCTTGGTGACAGGCAGCAGGTCCAAGTCTTTGCCAGCTGTGTGCTGCCAGAACGTGACAGCCGAGCAGCCTGCCAATGCTCAGAGGTGGACTTAAAAAACAGGCTGGCCACAATCCTTTCCCAATTCATCACAAGCTGGCCCCACAGAGCAGCTCAGCAGCCCAGGTGAGCACATGAATGCACTGCCTTTGGCATGGCACCAGCAGACCTTTCTGGAACTTACAAGTTCTAGAGGCTTCTTGTCTAATTCACTTTTATGAGAAATCCTGAACCTACTCTAAACATTTATTAAGAAGCAGTTGTTACTACACTGCTAATGATTCAACTTTGAAACAGATGTCAGTAATCTTCTCTCAGCTTCCCAGCCAACTTAAGGGAAAAGTATCCTGAAATTTGTATGTTAAGCTATTTCAAAATATTCTGTAACTACTTATCTGTATAGGGAAGATTTGTCTTATTTCACTATGCAACCAAAAAATAATTAGAAGTCAGGTACATGGAAAACTGATGGGCTAGGAGACTCCCATGGACACCTGTGCCCTTATTGCTCCCCGACCCACTGTGGAGGGCAGTACTGTGGTTCAACGGGTACGAGTCGTGAGGGCATAGGCTTACAGAGCCCTTAACATGCCAGCCAGGCACTAGCCTGACTACAGCATTCTAACTCATTCATCTTTACAATGGCTTTGGGAGGTAGGCAGCCATCATCCTCATTTTATACATAAACTAGGCCAGAAGACATTGAGAAGTTGCCCAAAGTCACACAGCAGCCTGGTCATGGGGCAGAGCCAGATTCAGATCTAGACAACGTGCGTCAAGTCTGAGCCCTCCAGCTACTGGGCTACATCGTCTTTCTGCAGCTCACAAAATAAGCTCCCAGACGAAAGCACCACCTACTGCTTCACACACATGGGTGATTTCACTTGATACTGGGCTCCACTGCCACAAAGATGCTGAGAATCCCTGCTGTAGGGGATCTGCTATTAAAGGGACAGTGGCCGTTTAGTGGGCACCAGGATGCAGTGACTCCTCTTACAGATGAGAAACAGTTCACAACATAGACGCTATACATGGAATAAAAACCAAAACCACAACGACAGGAAGGGCACTTCTCAACTCCTGTGATTCATCTGAAGTTCGTTCGCTTGCTGATAGTGCTCGACCCCCCCACAGACCAGGAGACACCGGAGGCTCAACAGAAATAAGTCAGAGGTGAAAACAAGTCGAAAAAATGTCTCCCTGTCAAATGGGAAAAGGACTTACTGTTACTTCACCAACAGAATTCCAGATTCCAGCTTGTGGAAACTTACGACACTGAAATAAAGTAACAGAGCGACTATAACTTATTGCTTCAAAGAGTGTTTTCCGAGTGTTGATCATTTACCACGTTAACCTTGGTAAATCATCTGCATTCTCTAAAATTTCACATTCGACAGGAAGAGTGACAACGGCCTGAGTCAGTTGCACCTTGTCCCTCCAGTAGAGCTCATAAGGAACCAAGGCACAGGAAGAGACCGGCGGTTCAAAGCTGGTAACCCTGGAGACACCAGGGTCAGGCCGGCACCCACGGAGTCTCCGCTGCACACAGCCCGCAGCCCGGCCTCCAAGAGCTCAAAGAGGGCAGCTCAGTCCGGGCTGACACAGACCCGCGAATCCTACTTCTCAGAACCTGCGGCCTCCCTCCTGCCACATGCAAGATATGATCCAGACTCTGAGGGCTGGAGAAGGGCAGAAACCACGCACCAGTCACTCCTTACCTTGTTTCTCCTTTTCTTTTAGTGGATCGGTGTTATAGACTCGGAATCCATTTTCCATCCCACATGCAAAGCATCCTAAAGTGAGAGGGACACATCAGTCACTTCACTGGGGTCCTGGCTAAGGGCTGGGCCCGTGGGGGCAAAATGAGGGGTCTGGAGAACGTGGCCTTTCCTGAGGACTCCTACAGACGCTCAGACCGCACAGACATGTCCACACATGCCCCAACCACTCTCCTCACAGACTGTCAGTACCCAGTGTGCACGATCTAGCATGACACTTCTGGTCGTTTAACATGCAAAGGAGTCTCTGGAGCCACTCATTCCAGCTTCCCACTGCAGGTCCTTCAGTGGCCTTTCCGTGTGGATTAGGCTGCACTTCAACACTTACTTCCAGTGAAGGGGGCTCACTGGACACCTTCCACGAGCCACCCCGTTTCCCTCGACACCTGCCCCTCTGCGACACTCACAACTGGCCTCCCCATTCAGAACAACTCTCAAGCACTATGTCAGGAACCAAGTCCTGTGGAGACGATGACAAATGAGAACGTCCTCATCTCCTGGAGGACAGACACACAGCAGGCAATCCCAGAAGGCTGGGGTTGGGGCAGGAAAGGGGCGTACAGGACAGCCTTCCAGAAAGCAGCCTTGATGTCCCCCATGACCTCCCGCCCACCTGTGAATACCCTACCGCCTCGAACCCTTGGCGCAGCCACCCTCTCCAAGCCGCAGGCCAAGTGGATGGTCCAGTTAAGGGTGCCATGAGGAACGGAAGGGGCACTCAAGCCCAAGATGGCCCGGGGCCTGGGCTCCATCTGCCCCGCGCGCAAGCCAGGCCCACGCTCGCCTCCGGTGCTGCCCGCCCGACCGCTGGCTCAGCTGAAGCTTGGTCTAGGAGAAACAGCAAACCCTCCGACTCTGGCACGATGTGTGTGGCCGGCGGGTTTGGGAGCTGACGCAAGAGGCCCTTCAGATGCCACCCACTCTCCTGGTTCTGAATTGGAACCCCACTCTTCCAGCCAATCAGCTTTACTTGTACATAATTTGTTACAATGAAACAAGCTGGTTTTACAAGGGTATTTTTCAGACAAATGAAATATATCCATTAGGGGCCAAAGCTGTATTTTTAAAAGTAATCTTTGATGAAAACTTTATTAAAATGCACACTGGTTCCTAAAATAGCATCATGATGAGCTTCAGTTATTATACTGAAACTTGACGCGAAGTCCTCAGGTGGCATTAAGCGCGGTGAGTAAATAACCGTCTGGCTCTGAGTGGCTTTCAGTCACTGAACTTCTTGCTGCTGGGAACCCCAAGGCGCCCACGGCTCCCCCTTTGTGTGCAGCCAGCCCCCTGCCAGCGTGAGCATCCTGGTTTCTCCCCGTTAGCGCCGAAGCTCGCTTGGGACCCACTGGCCCTCCTCTGCCAATCAAAACCCGGGTGCTCGGCCACACTGCCCGGCGCCCCACGTCTGGCCCCACGTTCCCCCCTCTCTCCGTAAACGCGTCTCCGCGAGCCCCCCCGGCGCTCTGCGCAAGGACCCGCGCGGCTCCCGGCCTGCCCGCCGCCCAACCTTCCCTCCGCGGCGCCGTCCCGCAGCACCGGCGCCCCGGACAGGCCCGGCAGGGCGTCCGGGAGGCTGTACACTCGCCCGGCGCTCTGCACAGGCTGAACCTCGAGGCCCACGTGGGGGCTCTCCGGGCGGAAGGCCTGCGGTCAGCCGCTGTCCTGGGGCCCGAGGGCCCGGACGGAGCGGCCGCGTCCCCGAGGCGCACGTCCCGGCCAAGGCCTCGGAAGCACGCGGATTCCACCGGGCTGCAAGGGAAAACCCTGGGCAGGGGGGCTGGTCCCCTGACATTTTCTGACCGAAACCAACAGAAAAGGCGACGGGCGCCCAGGCCTGCGGGGCCGCCAACGAAGCCCACGTCCGCGTCTGCAGGGACCCAAGAGCTGCTCAACTCGACTGCAGCTCGCCGCTCCGGGACCGGACGCGGACGGAAGGGAGCGGGGCTCCCCGAACACGTGCCGTGGGGGCGGCCGCCGCCCGGGGGTCCCGGAAGGGAGACCCGCCCCGACCTCGGTCGGCGCCCTCGAGAGTGGGAGCGGCGGCGGGCGGGCAGGGCGCGGGGCCAGCGACGCGGGCCCGGGGGAGGCCGGCCAGCCGGGGTCTCCGGGGAGGCGCGGCCGGGGCCGGCAAGTCGGGGGAGCCCGGCCGATCCGGGGTCCCCGGGGAGCCGCGCGCGGGCACTCACCGTGGTCCTGGTTGAAGCCGGCGTAGAGCAGCCCGTTGCCGTGGGGGTTACACGGCAGGAGGTTCATGGCGCCGCCGCGGAGAGTCCGCCGCCCTCAGCGCCGCACGCCGGGGAGGCCGGGCGCGGGTCCCGTCAGGCCGGCCGAAGCCGCCGCGGCCGGAAGCGAGGGGCGGACGTGTGGACGCGCGCAGGAGGGGCCGCGGAGCGCCGAGCGCATCCACCCGGGGACGGCCAGGCGCGCAGGGAGCGCCGAGAGCGTCACGCGCGCGGGGCGGGGCGGGGCCCGGGGCGGGGCCTGTGCTCGGGACCCCGCACCACCCGTGGGACGCGAGGAGCAGCGCAGCGCCTCCCGCCCGGGAGGAACGGGGTACAAGGAGGCCGCCGCTCGCCCTCAGGAGCAGCCAGGACAGAGCCCGCCGGAAATCGTATAAATTAAGCATAAAAGACTTTTTCTTATTTGTAACCGATTTAAAAACTAAGTATGTAAGTAAAAATAGTAACGATGCATTAAAGGGTTAGCATATAACAGTAGAATGTACACAAAAGTAGCAAACGGATGGATGAGGAAATGAATGTATAGAGTCGCCCCATGCAAACCCCGCAGGGCACACAGTCCGCATCTCGGGACTCGCAGCCCCCAGGACGCAGCCTGTTTCCTCTCCGCACAGAGCTCTGTGATGTCACCCAGGAGATGGCGGCTGGCCCTGCTCTGACTCTAGCAGCCACGGAGGCAGGAGTGGCCGGCCCTGGGGTCCCTCTCACCGTTCCCTGACCTATCACCCCCTGCCCAGGGGGCACCCAGCCCACCTGACGTCCCTCTGGGCAGACCTTTCTGCATCTGCCCAAGCCTGCCCTCGGAACTGGGAGCAGCCGACACTCCCAGCCAGCAGTTGAATAGCTTGGTTCCCATTTGGGGGGGACACACTGTCCGGCGGGCCTGCACAGGCCTGTGGTTCGGGACAGGCACCAGGTTGCAATCACAGACCAGACTAAGAACCAGACCCCAGTGCCCTAGGGTCTCCTGACTTGCCCGGGCACGGTCAGGACAGGGGCACGCCGGGGAAGCAAGAGACTCAGCCTTTCCCTTGGTTTACCGGAGGGCCGCCTTAAGGGCTCTGTCAGCCCATATTCACTCCATCCCTCTGGGGCTGTAGCGGGCCAGGGGTACAAGTGAGGGCACCAGGAAGCTCAAAGTAGTTGGAGGATGGTGGCCCCCAAAGACATGTCTGCCCAAAACCTACGACCATGACCTTTCTTGGAGAAAGAGTCCTTGCAGGTGAAATTAGGGTCCTGAAAGGAGACCACCCTGGTGGTCTTAAGTCCATGACAGATGTCCTCCTTGGAAGACAAGGGGAAAGACGCAGGGGGGAGCCAGGCGACAAGGAGGCTCAGGTGGCAGGGATGTGCCCCCCGGTCCAGCCAATGCCAGCGTCCTCACTGCCTCCAGGAGCTGGAGGAGCCCAACCGCGGCAGCATTTCTGCCCGCCGTTGGAGACACAGGGTCAGGCTGTGGCACTTCTGTGCCCCCAGGAAACCGACACCCCACCCCCCCACTAATAGCTGACCGGCCTTCAGCTGGAAGACAGAAGTTCTCAGGAACCTCACAACACCCCTCTCCTAAAGGGGGCACATTCTCCCCTCAGGGCACAGACTGGGGTTTGAGCCAGGGGTGGAAGGCATGGAAGGGTGTTACGTATATCCATATTAAAGCCTATCTTTCCATCTGTAAGAGGAAAAATACCGTCTAAAGTGCTAATAGAGGCTGCAGGCAAATGCCTCACAGGCCCTCCCAGCACTCTCAGCACCCCTCTCAGTCAGAGTACCTCCCCTGAGGACGGGCTACCCAGGAGATGCCTGTGCTTATTATGAGTTAACAAAGGTTTTTTTTTTTATTTTTAAGGTATTATTGATATACACTCTTATGAAGGTTTCATATGAAAAAACAATGTGGTTATTACATTCACCCTTATCTGATGGGCACTTGGGATGCTTCCATATCTCAGCTATTGTAAATAATGCTGCGATAAACATAGGGATGCATATGTCTTCTTGAATCTTTGATCTTGTTTTCTTTGGGTAAATTCCTAGGAGTAGAATTCCTGGGTCAAATGGTATTTCTATTTTGAGTTTTCTGAGGAACTTCCATATTGCTTTCCACAATGGTTGAACTAGTTTACAGTCCCACCAGCAGTGTAGGAGGGCTCCCCTTTCTCTGCATCCTCGCCAGCATTTGTTGTTCCTAGTGTCTTCTACGTTGGCCATCCTAACTGCTTCATTCTATTTTAGTGAGTGAGCAGATGAAACCGTGTGCCATCACATATGAGGGCTCTCTTATGGTGCAAATACTGGTTAAATATCATTTATAAACAATCATCTCTGTGCACCTGACTTTTGAGAAATGTGCCTTATGTTCAATTAAAATACCAGAAAGCACAATGGTGGTGCCCAGGGCTGAGAGGTGAGGAGATGTTCCAGAACTTGAAAGGAAGCAGCTGCACAAGATGGCGAAGCCTCGCTGTTCTTGAAAAAATGTGACATCTTTGATTTTAAAGTGCAGTCAAGAGCCAGCCTGCAAAACACACTCCAGCCATGGGCACCTGCCTGTTCCTGTGGGTGCTGTGGGCTTGGACCCCCAGCGCCTGCTGCCCAGGAGCTCCGCACACTTAGGCGATCAGTTCACCCAGAGAGCAGCGTCGGGGGCCACATATCCCAACCCGCTGACTGCTTTTGGAAGAGGGCCAACCAAGCCCCTGCACGCCTGTCTCCTATTGTAGATGGAGCTGAGACTGCGCAGCATGTCAGGGGCCAGAGAGCACCTGTTTGGAGCCACACACACGTGGTGCTTGTCCACTGGTGGTGATCATGCCTGGAGGAGCCACTGTCCCACACTGGACAGCAAGCCAGGTCTGTCTGTGCTCCAGGAGGCAGTTGAGGGCAAACTGCCCTGGACTTCAGCAGGTGCCTTCCCCATTAGCCTGAAGATACCAGGGAGCTTATTTTCTCTTAAATAACCGTAGTCTCAGGACACTAAATGTCAGACAGGGCGAGAGGCTGGGCACCTGCTGGCAGTGCCACCCAGCTACCTGTAGATCACTTCAGACGGGACTGCATGCAGGGGGGCCTGCCAGGAAGGCTCAGGGCACACTTGGGTCCCCGTTGTGCTGTACAACAGCCAGCCACTGCTGAGCTGTTGTCATCACAGGGCAACCAGAAAACACGCCAGAACGGAGCTCCCCAAAAAGCCCACAGAAGCAGCAGATGCCCTGGAGGGTGGTAGCAGCTAGCATCATGGCCAGCTGGGCCTCTGGTCCATGGGAAGGCCAGGAAGGCCCTCCTCTCAAGAAAGGGGACTGGGGAGGTCAGGTGGTGCTGTGGGGGACAGAGCAGGCCGAGCACAGAGCTGCCTCTTCGGCTGAAGCTCGGCCACCCCCTCACATTCCCTGAGAGGCTGGTCGTGGACCGGACACCTCTGACCACAAGCCCGTCTAAGAGGAACGGGCAGCTCCTTCCTGGCTGGAACAGCCCTGATGCCTCTGTCCTGCTCAGACAGGCATGATGCCAGCTCAGCTTGGCCTTGGCCAACCTCACCACCAGCTGGGACCCAAGCTCTTGGAGCTGGATGACCTCTTTCACCGTGGCCTAGGCAGCCCTGGGTACCACAGCAGGGCCTAGGTCTCTCCCAGGGTGTCCCACATCTAGGGCCTCATCCTTTGGGCCAGGTGTGATGGCCCCAAGACAGCGTGGGAGCGAGAGCTAATGAGATCCAGCCCTGTGCTGCCCACAGAAGGACAAGGGGCTGATGCCCGAGGGGCCCCACCCTCCATTAATTGTTACCTGCTGGGGAGGGCGCTTGGCCCCTCAGGGACAGAGCTACATGCTCAGTTCCCACCCTTGTTCAAAGTGCACATAATGGCAACCAGCAGAAGCTGGATGGGCTGCAAAAGGACCCTTCCCTGGAACTTCCGCAGGGATTCACGTGCCTTGACACCTTGACTTCAGACGTGCAGCCTGCCGGGCCTTGCCAGCGGCTGCCTGTGTTTCAAACTCCAGGGTGTGACCACCTGCTACAGTAGCCCTGGACACCAGGGCCTTCCAACACCCCCTCCAACCCCAGCTGTGCGGGGGGCTCCGGGCAAGGCCGAGCCCATGTGTGAGCCACTCCCTCCGGTGACACTGGCTTTGCCTCTCAGTCATCAAACTATTTCAGCCCATTTGTTTGTCTTTCTTCTAGAACCTTCACGCCACTCTGAACTGGAAAAAAATGGGCATTACTTCCAGATGGATTTTCTTAATCTAAGAGAGAATTTAATACCCTTCACACTTATCAATTTATTTTTTCCTGCTAAGATCATAACTTTCAGCCTCATACCCTGGGGTGGGCCAGAGTTTGTTGTGTGCACTCATGACGCTACCTCTGTAAGCCTGCTTTGGCTTTTATCTTAATCACACAAAATTCCAGCCCTGTCACAAGTCATAGTTGGAATTAATTCGTAAACTTCTTGAATCTCATCTGGGGCGGGTAATTCATTATTAGTGAGGTCAGAATACACATCTCACACAGCTGAGGAGGCCGCGCGGTCAGCGCCAGTGGCCTGCCTGGTTCTCAACCCCCAGCTCCACAGGTCTGTCTCCCAGCAGCGGCTTCCAGGTGGGAAACACGAGCACCCCTGCGAGGCGAAGGAGCCAGGCACAGAGACCCGGGGCGGAACCTGCTGGCAGGGGCCGTGGGTGGCTCTTCCCCCCCCACGCCCAGCTGCTGGCACGGTGCTCCCCGCACAGGGCAGCCGCCTTCCAGACTCTGGGCCCCACACACTTTCCATCTCTCAGGTCTAGAAGCTGTCCTGTCCATCTCTCCGCTCTACCCAGCTGCACCTCAGAACATAAGTCACCTTAAGCTCGCTCCTCATAAGGACCCACGTCTGCCAGATGGCCTGTATGGCTAGAGGGAGGTCAGGACCTGGAATACCAGGCCCACATAAGCAAGAGCAAATCACAAGGCCAAATTCACAGAAGCGCAAGTGCCTGTGTCACAGAGTTCACAGAGGCAAAGCCGTGACAGACTGATGGCCCACACCGGTGGCTCTGGTGAGCGGACCTCTGTGCATATTAACAGAAGTAGAAACAATGAAATAATTTGCTTCTTCATTGTTAAACCTCATCAAAAAGTTCTTGTCTTTAATCGAA